ATGAATGCATCTGAAATCCCGATGGAGCTTCAAATCCAATTGATTTGTTCTGCGAAGTCATACAAATAATTAAATTTAACTTTTCCCATTAAAATCACTCTTCATCATCAGCAAAATCATAGTTGTACTCTGATACTTCCTTTCCAAAACCAAAAAACTCAAAATGTTATGGAGCTTCCAAAAGCTTTCACAAACCATTCCCTCTTTTAGCATGAATTTCATACCATCAGCCAAAACAGGCAATGATGTATCCTCCAGCACTTCACAGCTTTCAGCAGCAAAGGCGAGCAGGTTTTACTCAGAGAGCATTATCAAAGTGCTGCTCCTCTGAACGACACATTTCATCTCATTCATTACAGCTGCTTTAGTGCTACTAATCCTCAGCTATAAACATGCACATGTAGACAAACACCTACACGGTAAATGAGCATTTCCATAGCAAGCCTCACTCAGGTTAGCATCACTGTGTTGCTTAATGAGCTTCAGGCGGGATGCCTTCCCCTGACTGCAGGCTGTGAGTGGTTAATTAATCAGACAGCTATGCCGTTGAACACCCACTCCCCCATGCCTCCTCTCTCTATTCAACATACAGAGTATAAATAGTTGAGACCTTTGGAATCGTCTCCTGTGATAAAACCTGGTACATTTAGCTATATCTGTTGCAAACACTCTTTTAGAATTACTGAACATGTTTTTTGTTTTTGTTTTTTTTCCTTAGGTCTAAGAAAAAAATAAAATAAAAATTATCTTATACAACAACAATCCTAACCGGCTCGCAATTATATGCTTCTGGCATCCTTTACTAAATAAAAAAATCCTCACCAAGCTTTTAAATTACTTGATTGGTTGGCAGCCCTGGAAAAAAATACTTTATATAAGGGGGATAACATTAAACCATAAAACAAGTATTTCAAGAAGCAGAGTTTAAAAGAGAAGACATTTTTTTAGCTTTGCTAACTTATTAGTGGTTCAATGTTTGGTCAATTAATCTAGCAGACAAGAAAAAAGAACTGTGGAGTGCAGAGGCTGACACAAAAATTAAAGTTTAAGTGTGTTTGTGTTTGTTGGATTATATACATAAAAATACACAGCTGAATAGTTGAAACTTAACAAGACGGTGATATGGAATATGAGATATTTCTTTCCTTTAGGACAATAATGTCTACTTAAAAGCCCCCACATAATGTGTCCTTCAATGTCTGGGCGGACATTGAAGGAGAGACAGCCTCAATGCAAAAAACCTTTTCTGACCACTTATGTGTATGAGCGTCTCACCAAACCACTCAGAGGGAAGGTATTTCTTGCCAGAAACAAGTATTTATACTGAGCTGTTTTAAGTGTTACACCAAGCTGATGAGGATCCCCAGCTGATCGCTGGCAGTAACTCGCTGCTCAGAGCAACCGATCGCAAGAACCAGCAGGGTGTCAGGCGCTCGCTCACCAATAGAGGAGCAGTGGGAGAATAATCAGAGAGAGGTGCCATTTAGCAAGAATACCAATGCGTCCGATGATTCCATGGCCATATGGGAAATAAAGTCATGAAATATAGGATTGGCTACCCTGAGCTAAGAAGGCTCCATGTGACTCACAGTGAGCACACAGTCCCCTCAGTTACGAAGGGTCCTTAAGAATTAAGACTCTGACAAAGAGAGCATTCTTGCTGCAAGTCGGAATAGAAGTTGGGTGATCTGGGAAGCTTGATTAATGCTAACAGGAGGCTGAAACAAGTAAGGGGGAAGTTTCTTAATCAGAAATGAAATTTTGATGTGTTTCATAATTTTTGTTTTTGTGCATTGGTTTGAACTCATTTATGTATTCTTTAGCTGCCTAGCCAGCTTGTAGGGAGTTTTGAGAAAACTTATGACTTACCCAGAAAATTTGAAAAGCTTCCTCTCACAGGCTCCTCCCCATTTCTCTCTTATGCTCTTCTCGCTACCTGATGTGTACAATAAGTGCAATCTGCACCATCAGCACCTTTCCATACATGTAACTACATATTTATCCTGGTTGGCATTAAATTATGCAATTATGGTGACGAAAGTACTTATCTCTAGCTTTAAATAATTAAAATGAGCTCAACTACATTGTATAAAATAATAATAACCTTGCTGAAGCATTTGATGCATTTCAATTCATTCCATTTCATTGTTTGACATAATTACCAGACAAGCTAAGAACAGTCTGGCAAAATATAACTGTACTATGTTTATATGTTCTTTAGTTGTGTCATTGTTTTAAGGATATATTATATAACATACAGGTTGAATAAAATGCAAACATGAAACAAAAAATTACAATAACTATTTAAAACTCTAAAGCTGAAAAATGTGCTGCTGGATGTAGGGCAGGGATCCCATTTCCAGGAAAAGATGAGTGATATAACAAAAAACTGCAAAAGGCTTTTTTTTTTTCTCAGCAAAGTAGTTATTAAGCTTTTACACAATGTAGTTTAGTACGCTTTTCATAAAGCACAATAGCATGATGACGCAGATGTATGAACTGTATTCATGTAAAGATTTACAGGAAACCGTGCCCTAGTTTATTAGATGTACTGACAATTTTGAAAGATTATTTATTTTAAATTAAACATCTTACATTATCAGTTTTGGTGACACTGTTTATCCCCTGGCAACACTCCAGGCATTCAAAAGAATCTGACAAAACAGTAAGAAGTTATAAAAGCAAACCTAATCATTCTGAAAACTGCAAGTATTTCTATTTGCCAGTGTTACGCTACATTTAAAAGGAATATCTATCTAATGTCTGCATCAATTATGGAGAAAAATATCACCAAAAGCTTTATTTGGTTGCTCAAATAAAGCAACATTTAACATTTGTATTTAATATTTCCATTTAATTTTATGAATTTACTTTATTCTTATTATTCAATGGCATTTGAAGAGTTTGGTTTGATTACTGAAGTTTTAGGCTTATTTTCAAATCTATATATATTTAAAAAAAACACCTATATGTTTATTTAATTATTTTCATGTTGATGCTTCTTATGTCCATAAAATATCAGTGTTCCTATTCCTGTTTCCAAAAACAGAAGAACTGTTTTATTACAGCAAACTGTGCTTTAAAGTATTTAGGAAAAGTATAAAATATTCTGCTTTAGATGTGATCAGTCTTTTTTGGTTTGAACCAGTAAGGATCAGTCAGTCAAGACTCACTAAAAAGCTGTAAAGTAGCCCTTTATTTGCACCCTAATAGGAAACAGATGCCAATTCTCCCATCTCTGGCTGCTAATGTTTATCCATGTATGATATTCTAGGTGCTCACAAATTCTTCCTGCTTCTGTTTCTTTTTTTTTCTATCACGTGAGTTTTTTTTTTTCTTTTTCTTCCAATATTTCATTTAAAAGTTGGGGAATAATTTTAACAACTGAGAGTGGATAGCTGGCCCAACTGGCAGTCCGTATTAGTTGAATTTGTAAACACAGCAAGAAATGCTCCTTATCTTACTTAAAAATGAGTCTCAAACAAAGATGTAACATATAGCTTTATCACAATACTCAAAAGCCATCAGTAGGCCTGAGGACAAATAGCATGACTCACTGGGTCTGTAGCGATCACTGCCTGCTCATTTATACATAAATAAACTGACAACAATGCAACATGCTGCCAGCAACTGCAGCTCTTGGATGGATGATGTGCGATGTTGGATAGAAGCATTGCTGCCTTTCGTTTGCCAGCTGGGATCTGTCGCAGAGATTGACAAACAGAGTCAATATTGTGCCAAGCAGCAATAAAAAGGTGGGAGACCACAGTCCAAAAAAAAAACAACAACAGCGGCTCCCCCAAATGGCTCACGCTGCAGCGGTTTGTATGCAGAGGCACATAGTGAAAACATGAAGAACGTGCAAATAAACCTAAGTTTCTCTCAGGGATGGGTGTCAACACCTCTTTGTTTTCTTTGCTGAGTGTCTGATTTGTTGATCTCTGAGAGAGCTATTTTGGTATTACTTTTAAACCAGAAATGACAGCCTGTAATATGCAGCCTTAAAGGATAAAAAAAACTCTTCAGTTACAAGCTTTCAGATCTATACTTTGGGTCTATAATTATAAAGATTAATATCTCAGCTCTGCATGGGCTGCTAATTTTGGAGACAATTCATCTCTCCATGACTGAACTGACAGCAGAGGTAAAATGCTCCCTTATTGTTTTAGTTTGTCAAAACAAAACTTTAAAAATATTAATAATTCTATTCATATATGTGGTTGTGTGGGTACTCATTTGTTACTAATTTCCTGGGAAAATGCTACATGTGGAGATCAGTTGACTGGTCCCGATAAGGAAAATAATTTTTTTAATAGTTAGGGGTTAGACTTAAGTCTAAGGTGAGAATTCAGTTCAAAATAGGGTATGTATGTTGGTAATGGGTAAGGTAAAGGTAAGGGTCTGGGTTTCCACATACAAATAAATGGAAGCTCATATCAAATCTCCATTATATATGGAAACACAAGTGTGTGTTCTCTTATAGCGTTTGTTGTACAGTGAGTCATTTCAGGTGGCAAGTTACACAAGGCAACTACAATTAAAAATAACTAGATTTTAGGATTTTAATAGTATTAGATTTAACAAGGTTCAATAAAAATGCATGCAATTTATTTTCGAAATCTCTAAAAGGCAACATACAAGTTTCCTTTCATAATCATGCCTGCCTATATTCCCGCAATATGAGGTCACGACAGCAATCCAGGCTTCAGCTGCAAGTATTAGTAACAAAATGAGTCCAAATGGGCAAGAGCATGGTCATGACATGAGGGTGAAAAAAAGAAGATAAAGGGTTTGATGAGGAAGGGAAAAATGCCTCTCAGGGCAATGTGCCCCCGCAGTGACTCCCTGATGAGAAAAGTGAACAGGTCTGTCAGTTGGCTTGCAGCAATCAAGGCAGCTCCATGGATCTGTCAGCGTGTTTCCAACCTGCTCATTACGAACCCAGGACACTGCTTGGCTGGAGTCACCCTGCTACAAGAGTTCACTGAGGTGTGACTTACCTTCAGCTCGTGTGGTGAACGGGGAGTCTCCTGGTCGCTTGGCTGAAAACTGGCTCCCGAGAGAGGTCATTAGAAAGCAAAGGCTGAAGAAGCCGACCCCGACCACAAAGATCCTGCAAGAAACAAACAAGGAGGCTGATCAGTTTAGAAAATTAGCAATTTAGAAGGTAAGAGTAGGAAAAGGAAGCAACAAAATAAGGCAGGTGTCATATCCCACAGCTTGAAAGCTCAAGTAGAGCAAAACATAAGCTCCCTTATATCTGGGTGTGGATTCATAAACATGGACAAATTTCTCTACCTTCATATTGCAACCAAGAGGCCGGAAGCATTGTGTACTCGCCTGAGAGACTCATTTTAAATGTACCATTATGTTAACAAATTTTCAGCATCAAACTGTGCTCAGTGGGTGATACCACAAAATATGAATCCAAAGATGAATGTGTTCAGTGCTTTACAGAAAGCAGCAAACATTTGCCTACTTCTTCTTAAGTGGTTTGGAGTCATTTTCTAAAAACGGGCCCGCTGGAAATCTCAGGGGGTCGTGCTGGGAAAAGGTTTGGAAGCAATCCTATCACGAGGCAAAGCTGCAGGATGGACTGTCACACTTCTGTTGCAGACCTCATTCCTCTAAGACTCTACTTTTTTTTCATATGGCAGAAAACTGACACAAGAGAGGGTTTAACATCTGCATTAAAATGCTGAAATGCTTTTTTTCTCTTTTTGTAGCCTATATCATGTCTCTGGTTGGAGCTTTGGCTAATCAGCCAATCAGAAATGGTAGAGATATTGAATCGATTAATTTGTTTTGCATGGATCAGTCTTTACAAAATAGTCTGTACATTTTCAATTGTGACTAAAGAGATACAAATTCCCCTCATTCTGCCTGACATATCCACTATGAAGCATGTTTATTAGTAACTTTTTCAATTTTCAACCAAGATGTCCTAATCAGATCAAAGAATTTGGTAGGACTTAGCAAAATATTTCAGAAAACAAGCAAAAGCCACCAAAGGGTTAAGTCTTAAGAAATAGAAGAAGGGGAAACAGGTGTGTCACTTTAGATGGTAAAGAAAACTTAATGTACTGTAAGCATGGACCGATATGCTGCTGAGAACTTGAGACTCTCCTGCTCTACCTGCTTACCAAAACAGACACCTTCAAGCTTGACTGTAACTTCCATTGGGCAACATAAACTAGCCAAAGGGCTTCTGAAAAAAAAGTTATGGTCAAAGAAGACAGAAATCAAGCTATATGATCACATCAAGAGGCCCTATTCTTTGCTCCTGTTAATGCATATCTATCAAAATTAAGTGCAATGTTTCCTGCTGAGGTCTGAGCGCGAAACACAAAGTAATTGTATCAATAAATTTCTCCTAATTGTCTTTTCTCTTCTTGTGAGTTTTTCAGATTGAAAAAGAGTTTAGCAATAAAAAAGGATGACTTCCTCCAAATTACTGTATATTTAGAAAAAAAAAAGGGTGGCTTTTATATTAACATTAAACTACATCTTCAATGAGCAAGTTTTTGAAACTTTAACCAATTGAATATACCACTAGAACAAAGATTCCAAGCAAACATCAAAACTTTTTTGGGAATAGATAGGAAAGGCTTATATTAGGCTTGTGGATTGGTGCCAACCTAAACTCGATTGAAAAGTTCATGAATAATGCTTTCCAGCTCAGTCTGTGTTGTTAAAACAAACCACTTTAATTGAGCTAAGTGGTTAAATATCAGAACAATGTCAGGACTTTTTGAGCATTATAAAAAGCATGTTGTGTCTCTGGAACTTACTAACAAACCATCAAAATAATAGTGGTGTTGAATGTTTTATATATATATATGAGTCTGTATGAATAATGTTGACCCTATGTGGATCAGAGTAAAATGTACAATAAAAAAATAGCGATCTACTTTTATTTGAAATAAGTTATTTTTATATCAATAATGACAAAGGTTCTATAAATAGGTCCTACTGTAATTTTTACTGGACTCCATGTTTAATGCCCATCATCTAAAAAGGAAAACACAGAAAGATTTGAATTCCCACAGGTAACACCCCCTGATTGCGACTCATGCAAAGCTGAGAGCCACAAAGTTTGGGTCATCTAAGCTCAGCGTTTTAATGATATGTCTGCTTGTTTGGCTCTCTCTCTCTTCCCCAATGCAGCTGCTTGGGGAGTGAAGGACTGGAGCTGAGTAAGCGAACCTTAATTGTGCAGTAGCTTGTGCCCTATGGTCCCAATTCACCCAATTTTGCAAGTTCAGACAATTTTCTGAACTTGCAGAATTTGCTCCATTGAATAATAAATCATCACTAATAAGGAGATGTATATATATTGTTACTATTTTTCAAGGCTGCACTTTTAAAAAAGATGAAATTGTCCAGAGAGCAGTTCCAAACGAAATTTCTTTTTGTTTTACACTTGTAAACGTCTAAGTCATGTCTTTCAATTCTGCTTAGAAATATCCATGCACAAGAGAGGTAATTATGTTTAAAAAAAAATAATAATAATTAAATTTCACAAAACAAGAAGTTACTTATTGTATTAACAGTTTTCTTCATACAAAATGTATCTTCAAACATGGAGATTTCTTATTGTTTATTAAAATATATACATATGTCTTTTCATTTAGGTTCAGCAAAAACATTGCTCGATAAAATATGTTAAAAAATCATTCTTCATTGGTGATGTTATTAACTACATTGTGACACATTGTCTCTAAATGTGTTACATTGTATCACATTTAGAGATCTATGTATTTTCTCTCCATATTTTACCTATCAGAAGCATGTTTACATTTTTTAGACGTATTTTCTATACAGAGAGGAAAAAAACTGTAAAAATAAATCACATATTTTTATATCTATCCAGACTATGATGCCTAATAATGATATGATTGTGACTCTGAAACTCACCTGAATGGTTTGAAAGTGACAGGGCATCTCCTCACCATCATGGAAAGCTCACCGACGCTTATAGTCATTTTCCAACAGCGAAAAAAGCCTCAAACCCGTCTGTCATCCCGTTCATCTGCGCTTCAGATCGTGTCAAAAGCAGTTCTTAAACGCGCTCCTGTGGAATCTGCGTGGAGTGGAGTGGGATCTTACACTTCGCTCCCCTGGAGAGACACGCTCGGCTGTCCGTCCGCGCGCAACTTCAGCTCAGATCGCTCCCAACAGGGAGACTGGAGGCAGATATGAGTCCTTTCATGAGTTAGGAGTTAAATTTCAAGACAATAAAGCGGCTGGAGCAAAACGAGGCAAGGCTGCTGAGTTTAGTGAATTAGACGGTGGATGAAACACCGACTTTCATGTCTGTGGAAGCGGAGCTGCAGCTCAGGTACTGATAGCGCCATCTAATGACCAGCTCTGGTAACTAAAGGCGGACTTGTCACCTAATAAGTTCTACAATCATAATGAGTGACATTTAAAAACAATCACAGATTTGGAGTTATACACACTAAATGAACTCTGCAGAAAAAAATTTAAACATTTCAGGAATTCAATTCAGTTCATTTGCGCTAATTCCCATTACATGTCATTGCAAGACATTTTACAGTTCAACCAGATCATACACTCAAAATGATTCAAAGTTTTCTATCTAAGGAAAACCAGTTGATTGCATCGACTCATTGACTCGAATGCAATCCCTCACACTAAGCATGCTTGTAGCGACAGTGGAGAGGAAAAACTCCCTTTTAACAGGAAGAAACCAAAAAGCAGCTGTAAAGGGCAGCCCCGTCCAGGAAACACACAGCCAGACAGACGAGCTCTGAGCCAACTCCCATGTCATAGGATGAAGAGAGCACATCCAGCCAGTCACGGTCAGAGAAACAGGACTACACTGGAAAACAGGCCGATCACCAGCATCTATAAACAAGAGTGTTGATGGAAGCAGCACAGCTGATATTTCTCTACAGGATGGTGTCATTGCCAAACAGGAACAGACGAGGCAAAGCTACTATGAGAAAAAGCAGAGAGAGCATAACATTAGAGATTGAACTAACAGATTCCGCAGAGTAGGAGAATGGAGATAGAATGAAGCAGAATGATGAAATGGGGGGCCCTATGTCCTCCAGCAGTCTAAGCCTACAGCAGCATAACTATAGAGATAGCCCAGGATAACCTGAGCCACTCTAACTATAAGCTTTATCAAAAAGGAAAGTTTTAAGCCTAGCCTTAAAAGTAGACAGGGTGCCTCACGAACTAAAACTGGTAGTTGGTTCCACAGGAGAGGAGCCTGATAACTAAAAGATCTGCCTCCCATTCTATTTTTAGAAATTCTAGGAACCATTAGTAAACCTGCAGATTGAGAGCGAAGTGCTCTGTTAGGAACATAAGAACAATCAGATCTCTAATATAAGCTGGAAATTCGAGAAGGAGGATTTTAAATTCTATTGTAAAAAAGAAGGAAGCTCCAGAGACAAGATTTAACTGACTCAATACAAAATTATCCAAATTACTCCTTTTAAATCTAAAAATAATATAACTAAACTTTTTGGCTGTTGGTGTTAGTGGTGCAATATAGTTAATTACTTTTATTAAACATACAACTACCTAGTTTATTCAGAGCATTGCAAATAGAGAGAGCCATGGGTATAATGCAAACCAATTTGAAGAAACCTTTGGGGATAACATAGGCTCCATACCATTGAAATTAATATTCAAACTATACTAATTAAGTCTTAGCTTTATTATGGCCTAAACAGAATGAAATTCATAGATATTTCAACCTACTGGAGATTTATTTCTCATATATGATCACATCAAATATTTGGAACAAAAATGAAAGGTAATTGGGCAAAGGGAAACTAACCACAGTATAATTGTTCTAAAATTGCTCACACAACTGAGGGAATCATATCAAAGCTCCTAAAGTGCCCACAGAGTTGCCTTTGTATGTAACAGTGTGGAGCGAAGTGCTGTTGTGAGTGGCCTTTTAGCAGAGGAAAATGTGATGTTGCCCTGTGAGATGCTCCCACTAGCTGGTAAACATGATTTGAATGAAACTCCTGCCAACAGGATCATCAACCGGGCATATTGTTCAGATGGCCATCTAATGGACATACTTGTTTGATAAAATAAAATGTTGGATTGAATGTCATTTCAGTAAAATGTTGAATAGGGCCAAATGAGTGCTCCTAGTGAGTTTTTATTTTGTTGAGAGCTAAGTATGAAGGTAAATATGTGCCAAAATGAACGTACTTGTGAATTTAATGTGAAAACTTGAGAATGCAATGTGAGAATGTGTACCACAAAAATCTGAACTTGTATGCCAAAATGTTCTGCTGTAAAGAAAAACCGCACACACACAAACTGAATTTGAAGTTGCACTAAAAGACATATCAGGCAAGAACATGTAAAAAAAAAAAAAAAAATTACACTTGTCAGTCCAATCTTCACCTGAAGAGGATTTTCACTCAAATCTGATTTAAATGTGAATGCACAAAAAAAAACCATTTACTGGTGTGTTCATATAGTTTTACACAAATAAAATTACAGCTGACAAATGATTATTGATAGTTTATTTGTAATTATTATTTTTTTGCATATGTTAATCTTGCATTACAACCTCAATTTAGCCATTACAGCTTCTTGAATCTGCTGCTTCAAGAACACAAACGCGCTCTCGCGAGACACAGCACGTTGACACCGCGCTTTGACTTTTGTCACATTCCTTGCGAACGAACTTGTGTTTGAAGATGTGAGAGCAAATGTGTGTGTGTGTGGGGGGGGGGGGGGGGGGGGGGGGGGTTCTATAGGCCAACCAATCACAGGCTGCGTCTCAATTCGCAGGCTGCGTACTTGGGAGGACGCCTTTGGAGCACTTCCTGGTTACGACACGACGTCATCACGTTTACCCCAAAAACAGCGCCAAACAAAATCCGACAGCTCGAGAAATACGGAAAGAAGAGGGTGTGGTGGATGGTCGTTTGGTGCATGGCGCGTGTTTTGAAGCTGCTTATGGAGAAATGCCTTGGGCCGTGAGTAGTGAGGAAACAGGAAGCGATTCTTGTGGGATGGAAGAGGGAAATAGTGACAATGAAGGTTGGAAGATAGCAACATCAAAAAATGAGAAAAAGCGGAAAAAAACAGAGATCAGTTCAAGGGGAATCTAGTTCAGAACAATCCAGTGATGATCATTCCATACATTCCACAGCACAAAAAAATGAATTCAAAGTCATATTCAAAGTCGTTAATCAGGCAGACTCTTTTACAAATTGGAATCCGGTTCACTTAACAAAAACCATCAATAAACTTGTCGGAGAAGTCAAAGGTGCCAGAATTCTGTACAGTGGAGACCTGCTAATTAACTGCAGAGACAGCGCCCAGCAAGGCAAAGCAATACGGATCAACAAAATTGACGGGATAAGAGTTCAGTGCAGCTTAATGGAGAACAAAAAGATCAGCAGGGGAGTCATTGGAGGAGTTCCTCTAAAAATTTCTGAAAAAGAGATTCTGGAAAACATAAGCGTTGCAAAAGTAAAAGAAGTAAAACGGTTAAAAACAACAAGAAACGGAGAAAGATCTGACAGTTTATCTGTGCTAATTAAATTCGAAGAAGAGCAATTACCAAGCAAAGTATTCATCGGTTACATAAGCTATAATGTCAAAATCTACAATCCTCCACCATTGAGATGTTTCAAATGCCAAAAATTCGGTCACATTGCAGCAGTTTGTAAAGGGAAACAGAGGTGTGGAAGGTGTGCAGGAGAACATGAGTACGGAAAATGTGGAAAAGAAGCTAAAATAAAATGATGTAATTGTGGTGGAGAACATACTGCTGCCTATCGCGGCTGTGAAGCAAGCAAAAGGTCTGAGGAAATTAAAAAAATGAAATTTGAGCTCGGAATAACCTACGCTGAAGCTGCAAAAAGGATCCCATCTCAGTCAGAAAAACCCAAACCTACAGTTCAACACACAGCAAATTCCAAACCTCAAGAGAAATCTCTAAAAATTGATGAAGACTCACTTATTGTTAAAAAGACAAATTTTGTTCTTTTCATGGTAGAAGTAATTAATTGTACTGCACAGACAACAACAAAAACGGAAAAAATCAAAATAATAGTGAAGGCTGCAGAAAAATATCTGGACATTAAAGATTTGAACTGGGAGATGGTTGGAAGTATGATGGGAGGACCGATGGGACCATCAGAAACTGGCAGAGTTAAGATGACCTAGAGTAAATTAAAATTATATGGGCAAATGTGATTTAGTATTATGTTGGTTTAAGTTACACAGGGTTTTTTTTTTTTTTTTTTTGGGGGGGGTGAATAGTTTCCTGTTTTCTTGCTTTACTCCATATCAGTTGGTGGCGGTAATGCACAATTCACAAGTCTGCCAACCGCCATAAAATCCCATAAGAAGAAGAAGAAGAATACGGAAAGAAACAACAAAAACAAAAAAATAGATATGGAAATTTTTTTTATGATTTTTTTATTTACTTGTTATTGGAGGAGGAGAGTCGCTTTGACGGCTTCGGCGGCAGCAAAACCTGCGACGGATCTTTCTCAGGCTGGCAGTGCGCAGTGGAGAGGTAAGATCTACCTGCTATTATTCTAACCCACAGGGGCCTGCTAATGATCACATGGGCGTAGGTTTGCATAGGGACATGTCCCTACCAAAATTTTGGAAGGACCTATTTGTCCCTACCAATAATTGGATGTGAACAACATGTTTATAATTTACTATACAGCAGCCGCTTCTTTTCCTCTCGCAGCTTCTCTGCCTGGTAGCTGCAGCTGCTGCTCTTTCCTGTCCCTTTCACATAGCAGTGCATCAACTGTGCTGCGCGGTTTAACTCTCTGATTATTCTGCCTTAAGTTCCGCCTTCTCTCTTTCTGATTGCGTGTTTTCTAGTCTGTATGTGCGCGCGCGCGGGTGCTCGGAGCGCGGAAAAAAAGACGCTAAAATAAATTAATATTGGGCTACGAAACTAGTCCGAATTAAAAAACTTATTATCTACGCTAAAACAGGCGAAAGCTTCTGATTGGAGTTCTGTAAAGAAGCAGGAGAGAGTTTTTTGATTTGTGGAACTTGAGAAATGTAAGTTAACAACGTTAGGATTTCTTTTATTTTATCTTTTAATCAGATAGCCAAACGCTCCTTAAAGAAGATATTTTATGAAATGAAACCAGATGAAACAGAAACGTTTAAACGTTTCCTTTGGAGGAGTTCTGGTTGTAGAATATTGACAGACAAAAACTTTTTTTTTTTTACTTCTTAAATGCAAAATGTTTACATATTTTTTTAAATCTTGGTATAATTCCTGCTCTAAGTGGGTCGCTCTGTCGGCTAAAGGCACATTTTAGTGGCCCTATACTCCA